TGGAAGATATTCGGATCCATAGACTAAAATGACTCACCCTGTATACTTTTTTCTCCGTATATTCTTCGATGATATTCAGCAGATTTCAAAGTTGAACGACTAGCGAACCTAGCGTGAATTCCGCGCTTCTGCACTGTGAGTGCATCGAGATTTCTACACTTTCGTCACAAATTGCGAGTATTATTAATTCATGAGTAATTTACGATATTATCGTAGATCATTAAAACCGTCAGATCTTCTTCCCGCGTGCTCGCAATCAATTTGAGGCGTAACACGAAACGCCTGGAAGAAAATCAATCATCCGGCGCGCCGCGTCTCGATAATAGCCCACGTGCCGGGTTCGCGGTTCGCAGGTGCATCCCAGAGACACAGGCACCTGCAAGGCGACCGCACCTGCACCGCCCAGCTGCCGCACGCGGTGCGATTTCAAGGTCGCGTGTAACGGGAATCCGCATGGAACCGCGACTAATGACCGACGACGAATTCGACGACCGAACGATTCGAGATGCAAACCGATCGCGGCTACCGCTTCTCACGGGCGCCACCCGCGTCGTTTCTCGCTGAGGAAAATTCAAAGGAGGGTATGACTTTTAAGCGATTTGGGAACCGCTAAATGAACGCAAATTTCCTATTTTTTTCCCGTAGAATTAAAAAATCGACCTTAAAATTACGCCAAGTAAAGGAAAAAATAGTTATAGACATTTAAACGTTGATTTTCCCTGAAAATCATGCATTTTCCAACACTGCCATCTTAAATACCTTTGACCTTTTTAGAGGTGCTAAATCTCACGTTACATGGGAGACTTATTTTCTCAAAACTTGATAATGATATGAGAATATGCTGTAAGCAGCAGTCAATTTAAAAAAATATTAACTATCAAAATAGTACAAAAGTGATTTTGTAGTCCAACTTTTTCAGGATTATACAGGGCATTAATAAACGAAAGCATATAAGCATATAACTATATGCTCTTCTCGAGCATATAGTAGCTTTCGCCGCTTAAGGCAGAACTCGGAATTAGTTGCCCATTTCGGCCGATTGACTGCTGCTTTTTCTCTGCTGCTTACAGCATATTCTCATATCATTATCAAGTTTTGAGAAAATAAGTCTCCCATGTAACGTGAGATTTAGCACCACTAAAAAGGTCAAAGGTATTTAAGATGGCAGTGTTGGAAAATGCATTTTCAGGGAAAATCAACGTTTAAGTGTCTATAACTATTTTTCCCTTTACTTGGCGTAATTTTAACGTCGATTTTTTAATTCTACGGGAAAAAATACGAAGGAAAAAATAGGAAATTTGCGTTCACCTAGCGGTTCCCAAATCGCCTAAAAGTCATACCCTCCTTTACCACGACAATTAAGCGTACACGGAAAAAATAATTCTGTTGGTGCAACCGAATTTTCGGTTACTCAGGGACCAGATGAAAACTCGGCTGTAGGAACAGAAAAATTTCTTTATGAGGCTTCTGTATAGTCAATCGTTCTCAGTTGCTTGAACAAAGTTCTAATATCGTTGAATGTTCAGTCGAATATTTTCGGTTGCGACAACAGAAATATTAGTTTTCAAAACAGAGATATCGCTTCTGATCATCTAATTTTCAGTTGGTTCCTATTTGCACCAACTGAGATTTTTTTGGGTGTACTGAGAAAAATCTAAAAATTAATTAATACTTCTTAGGCGGGTACCATTAACATATTTGATTAAATGGAAAGAATTTTGATTCAAGTGAGTGTCAATGGTACCCACTTGAGAAATATTTGTTAATTTTTAGATATCTTTTTTGTAGCATAGTTTTCTAATGACAGGACGCATTCCAATCGAGACTAAGCAATGATTCAGAGGCTTCGTCAGCTCAATTCAAGACGACTTATGGACGATAATAATGGATTAGATAATAAAATGACGATATTAGATAATGTGAGGTTAGATTATAATACGTTACGAATTAAACAAGTGAAATATTAAAAATCGCTTAGGACTATTTTAACAATTTTTACAAGTACAAAACATGTATGTAAAAGTTTAGCTGCAATCACATCACTACAGTCTGTACGGAAAAACTATTTTGTAGTTAAAATTAAATATTTAACTGCATTACTACATTAAAATTTTTATTTCTTCTTGCAATGTCTTTTGCAAAGTTATACTATATCGAAATTGTAGCGTATATTACCATAGAAATAGTAGTTTTCGGAGAATGCAGTAATTTTATATGAAATGTAATCTCAATTGGAGCACTCTTTTTTTTATTTTTCCCGCTCCTTTCTCTTTCTATCTTACGTTATCGCGACGCGACGCGTCGTCGCTTTATCATCAGTGGCGAATCTTCATCCGTTTCCTGAGCACCATGGTAAGGTACCTCTCGCTTGATGTGTTCACATAAAAACGGATTTTATCTCGTCGTATTCGGTTCAATTACAATTAAAACTGCAATGATCGCAATAGAATCGAGTCGCGAGTAGCAGCATTTGATCGAGTCTTCTCCGAGATCTGTGTCGGATTTTCCAAGTAATTTTTTATGGAAATTCGAAAACAGATACCATCTCATGTTCATTTGTAAAGACAAGCGGAATTGAAAATCAGATATACTGCACCGAATGCATTTGACCGTGCATAATGCGACTATCTGTCCGATTTTTCAAAGCTAAATATACGACGGGAGCATCCGCGAATGCGTATTCAATTGCTCAACGCATTATTCCCGTTGAACAGATATTTAATACGATAAATGAATTTCGCGATGCTAAATATCCCAACCGTTATATTAACGTTTCATGTAATATCGCAATAAATTCAAGATGAATTTCTCTCCCCTTCTTTCACATCCCTTATCAAATTCCCTGCCTCTCGGCGCGATTACACAATCGCGATTCGAGATTGCGACCGATATTCAAATGAGATATATGTGCACAATTTCCTTTTCCCCAAGCGTTAACCTTTCGCAACTATTCCGCAGATTCGATCGGTCCTTGCGCCACGTAACATAAATCGCGCATGTAATCGGGGATCGGAGTGCACAGAGGGCGTCGAGGAAGTGTTGCACGCGGAACAAAGCGAGGTCACGAGAGATCGCAATAGGGGAATGATTTAAAATGCACAACTGTCGGGTGGCCACATGGCGCAATAGCCGGCAATAGACGTGCGCGCACGTAGTGGTAACGAAACAATATTGTGTACTACCAAAAGGAAGCAGCGGGTGCATAGTTCACGAGGACTAAGGGCACAATTTGCCCGTAGCCGACGCGAGACTTCAACTTGAGCCGAAGAACCCGCCGGCGGGATGTTGTTTTACAGTCGAGTGATCTGGAAGAAGGCTAGAGTGACGGTGAGTTTCATCCGGTGGAGATCCTAATTACTTCTGCCCGCAATTAAGTACGCCACCGTTTCTGTCTACCTCTCTGAATTACTTCAATCCCACACGAAGGGAATTTTACAGTAAAAATTACCACAAGACTTTGTAACCGAGGAAATAGACCGACATTCTGCAGTCATTCTGTTCTTTCACTTCATATGTGCTATTTGCATCTTAGGAACTGAAATGTGCTATTTAAACACTTGCTGTGTCTGTAGCAAAATTTACTGCACAGAAAAAAAGAATATTCTTATTTGGAGAATATCTTTATTCTTGGCATATTCTATGAGAGAATGATTGTGTTAATTTTACTATGTTCGTCTTGATTGAAGACTAATTTATATTTATATTAACCTTTGGAGGCGCGATGGCGGTATCAGCTTTTTCCCCATTCAATCCAATAACATTGATAAAAAAGTTCTAGCTCTTAAAATAAAAAAGTCGATAAAAAAATAGCCACTCCTCAGAAGGTTTGATATATTTTAATTTATATCTATTTAAGATTATAATCTTATTTAAAAAATATCAACAATAAAGATATTCTCCAAACAAGAATATTTTTCTTCTGCATATATTCCTTGCCGACAGTCCATTCTTGAATTACTAAAAGTATAATTGAAAAGTATGTAAAAAAGAAACTACAATATTCTCTCGTAAGGCATACTTTACAATCGGTTCTTCAAAAACGCTGTGGCTTAGATTTCGTTTACAATATGCGGAGTGAGCTTGGAGTAAGAAGTAGGAGTAAGAAATAAAATTAATTTATTTCGTCTACACTCCAGTTCCTTCACATCGAAAGTCTTTCTGTCAGAAAAAATATTTACGGTGTAAGAG